AGGGGAAGCCGTGTTAGTCTGGATCTGTAAAAAGCAACAGAGAGCCCTGGGGCACCTTTAAGGCTAACAGATGTATTGGAGCATAAGCTTTCGTGGGTGAATGCCCACTTCGTCGGATGCATTTCGTGGTCATTCACCCACGAAAGCTTATGCTCCAATACATCTGTTAGTCTTAAAGGTGCCCCAGGACTCTCTGTTGCTTTTTACAGATCCAGACTAACACGGCTACCCCTCAGTTAGCTGTGTTGATTGTGTGTTAGAAACTTGTACATGTTGCAAAATGAACATGGTTTTCATGTCACTTTAGAGATCCTGAGTATGTGAGTCAGTTGTAACAAGTCAGGTCTATGCAATATATGGAGATGTTGAACAGTTACTAAAGCCTGGAGCTAGTAGAGGTTAAAAACAACCCTCTTAAACAAGGTTGACAGGTTAATTTGCTGCAGTAGACGGATCTCTCCTCTTTGCTTCCTTATGTTTCCCCTGCCAGTGATCTTCATTCCTCTTCCCATTACCAAAAAGAGAGAAGATTATTGACCTAGAGAGTTGTGCCTTTTTACAAAAAAAAATATTGAAAGGATTTTTTCTAGAAATGAAATTATCATTGCCATTATCTACATCCTTTGACTCCTCTGTGATTTGATGCTCAGTGAAAGATCATGTTGGCAAATTTATAAATCATACCAGGTTCTGTTTTTGCATTGGTGTAGATTTTACCGAATGCTTCACTTACACTCCCATGTTTAAATATGCAGAGTAGAACTCTGGAGGCTTTTGCTTGTCTGTGTGAGGCTGATTCTATTAACTTTTCCAAACATACCCAGAAAATACGTTTCATTATTTCAGTTCAGTTACAAAGTAATTTTTGAAACTTGCTGGTGGCAATCGCCCTCCTCCTTACCCACAAACCTTCATTGGTTTGTCACTTCCATAAGGCACAGTTTGCTTTCTGCACCCCAAGAAGTTAATGGAACTGTGCTTTGCAACCTAGCATATTAACATCAAACACTGCACTTGTGCTGATACAGCTTTCTATGAGTGAACTAGACTGGGCCTAACCCCGGTGTGGCTGTCAGGCTGGGGCAGGACACGAGGATCCTTGCCCCCATGTGCAGCCTTGCGTAAGGGCTAGGTACAGTTGCAGTCTCAGTGGCTGGAGGAGCACTGAGACTCCTAGAGCCCCAGGTTTGGGAAGGAGGCAGCTCTCATCCACACTAGCTAATGAGAGGGGAGCAAACGGCATCATCCTAAGTCTTATGCAGCCTGTGCATTCTTCCTGAATACCAGGGGGTTCCTGACGCATAGTCAGGCTGATTAAAAGCCTTGCTAAAGCTCCCATGGCAGTTTACATTGCCTCTTACACAGGCCAGTGTGAATATGTCATAATCTGGCCTATCATTATTATTATTGACTATTTATGTGTATTCCCATAGCACCTACAGTCATGGACCAGGATTCCCATTGTGCTAGGTGCTTCATGAATACAGAAACAAAAAGACAGTCCTCTTATGGCCTGGATTCAGGAAAGCACATGCTTAAGTCCATCCCTATTCAGGGATGCACTTACAGCCTGGCCTGACGTTCGCTGAAATCAGTAGGAGTCTTTCCAGTGATTTCAGTGGGCATTGGATCAGGCCCTTAAGCATTTAGTTAACTTGAAACGCACGCTTAAGGGCATTCCCGAACAGGGATGTTTTCCTGAATCAAGGCTCTTCTTCAGTGTTCTTGTAAGGTAAGCCAGCACATTCAGTAAGTGGTGCGTAGTTCTTAATACATTCAGGGGCGGCTCTATGTGTTTCGCCGCCCCAAGCACAGTATTCAGGCGGCTTTCAGCGGCGCGCCTGCAGGAGGTCTGCCAGTGCCGCACCTTCAGTGTCTCCACTGCCGAATTGCCGCCGAATCTGCCTGACTGCCACCCTCATGGCAACCAGCACGCCACCCCCCATGGCTTGCTGCCCCAGGCACGCGCTTGCTGCACTGGTGCCTGGAGCCGCCCCTGAATACATCTGTGGTGGTCCTTTATCATTACAATTGGGGAATGTTTTGTTTTTTTCGTTATTATAGCCCCAGTGTTCATACTGCTGCAACTAACATACCTGCCAGCTTTCGCTATTATGAGCAGCTAACGTCAGGGGCTTATAAATTAGTTGTTCTTAAAAAAAAGTTTACAAGCTAAATATCTGGCGTGCAGGGCCTCTGCTGGCAAGTGTGTATTTCTATGACTATTTTTTAATTACTTGAGCTCTAAAATAGTACTTCTTGGGATGGTATGCCCTTGAATCAGATATCATTTGCATTTTAATATTTTGCAGGCTATTAGACCCAAACATGGATGAGCCTTTTTTTGTTCTTACAGCCACCTGGACAAGTTACTAGCACTTGAAAAATAGCTACTAGGCATGCACATTAACTTGGTCATAACCTTTAAATATGCATATTTATGTCATTGTAAAGTCCGTACTCTGAACTGGCACAGTATTAAATCTTGATTTATAAACTGTTACATACTCCAGCATTACTGTTAAGATTATTGGTTCAATATTATGTATTTTAAAATTCACTCCGCTGGACTTGCACAATTAATCAGCAATCTATGTTTAGGGAGGTCCGACAGAACAGATACGTGGTAATTTGGTTGGGTTTTTTTCCCCCTCTCTATAAAAGTATGACCACTAAAATGATCACATTGCAAAATGATCTCATCTTTTCATAGAAAGATGCTAAAATTGCCTGTTTCCAGCACAGTGATCTAGATAAGATTTCTCTTTAAAAAAAGGAAAATGTGCTCATTCCAATACCACATAAATAAAGAAAATGGAATACAACGCCTTGCTTCGAATTTGTGATACAGTCAGTCCATCCTTCACTGGATTCCTTTCAGGCTATGTCTATGGTACGAGCTGAGGTGTGATTTCCCTGCTCATATACGCATACTCCTACTCGCTTGCCTTGAGCTACCACAAGTATAAACAACAGTGGAGCTGCAGTAGCACAGGGAGCGGCAGCTGATGCACGGCTTAACTGTGCTAAATATGTACCCACCCCGTTTCAGGTGGGTTTATACTCCGCATAGCTAAGCTGTGCCTCCACTGCCGTTACGTGTCCTACCACAGCTACGTAGACGCTCACTAGCTCTTGTCAAGCTAGAGCGGGTGTGTGTTCACAAGTATGGGAATTGCACCCCTCGCTCGTAGTATAGATGTAGCTGCAATCCCTAACTTGCCCTATTCTGCCTGTGTTTGCAGTCTGAGGTCAAAAGACTGATATTTATGGGGTTGGGGGGCGGGTTCAACATTAAATTTGATACTTCTGGCTTTTGTAGGTTTAAGTTACAAACTTAACATTACTGGTATATGATTCCTGTAATTATAAAAGCATATGTTGAGAAGATACACTTGTAAGCTGGTGGTAGTTCCACCCTGCTCTTAGCACAGCACACACCTGTACAAACACACACAGAATATGGTCCAAACTAACCCTTTCCTTGGGTTTTGTTTTTATTATTAGGTTAGGCCTAATTTATTCACCCAAGCAGTTAAGCAAGTGCTGCTTAAGTCTCATTGCCTTGAGTGGGATTCAAACACACGCTTAAGTACTTCACTGAAGTGGGGCTTTTGAAGGTGCGTCTACCCAGCAAAAATACCCTGTGGCAGCAAGTGTCAGAGCCTGGGTCAACTGATTTGGTCTTGTGCTACAAGACTAAAAATAGCAGTGAAACATTCAGGCTGGAGCCCAGGTTTTGAGACCCTCTCCCCTTGCCGGGTTACAGAGCCCAGGCTCCAGCCCGAGCCCGAACACCGACATGACTATTTTTGGCCCTTGAGCACAAGCCCCTCAAGCCGTAAGTCAGCTGACCTGAGCTCTGAGACATGCTGCCATGGGGTCTTTTTTTTTTTGCTGTGTAGACGTCCCCTAAGAAAACATCAACCTGAGCCTGAGATTGATTCTCGCTCTCCGCCCTTTGATTGTTCCGCCTGTTGTGATTATCTAGAAGAATCACAAGAATCTCTCAGCATCTCTGTTCAGGATCCCACCCTCTTACACCATGCCCTAGCAAGGCATCTTTCCATTTTCAGTGTGGCTACTTTGCTCTAACCATATGATTCTGAAGGTGCCTTTTAGTGCTCCTTCTTAGGAAGGTCTCTTTTTGAATCCCATTTTCCATTTCAGAAACAGATGCAGTCTGATCCACACAAGCTGGACTTTGGCCTGAAACCTGAGTTTCTGAGCCGGCCACCAGGTCCCAGCCTCTTCGGAGCCATCCACCACCCCCATGACTTGGCCCGCCCCTCAACTCTCTTCTCTGCAGCCGGTGAGTACTCAAGAAGGTCAGATGTTTCTTCTTATGGAATATTAGTTGGATGGCCGATCCTGTTGATGCTAACTGGAAATGTCCAATCAGCTTTGCTCTCGTGAGCTCAATGTCAAATACTTTAATGACCATTGGTCTGTTGAATCTTGTAGTTATTTTCCACACTTAAAGCCAGGATCCTGATGAGATGCCAGATGTACTCTGAATGGAAGAAAACTTCCACACAGATGTAGCTTACATGCCATGAAGATAGTGCATTAGAAATATGACAGATCAAGGTCTCTGAGTGTTTTCCATGCTGCAACTTTCTGCACACACTCCCCCCCTTTAATCTAGCTGAGACCACTTATTTAGCAATACGGGAAGGACAGGATGGCTGTGACCCCAGGCATCTGTTTGTGTCCTCTACTTGTGGGTCACAATCCCTAGGTTGAGAGTGAAAAAGAGAGTGAGTCAGGCTGTGTACAGGAATTAAGATAACCTCTGCGATGTACATGTGCTGTCGTTTCACAACAGACAACAGTGAATAGAGCCAAGAGCACCGAGGTTCATTTCCTGATTCAGGAAATTGTTTCTTTTGGCTTTGTTTGGTAGGTGCTGCGCATCCAGCTGGCACCCCTTTTGGCCCTCCACCCCATCATAGCAACTTTCTCAACCCAGCCGCTCACTTAGGTAAGTGCAAGAACTAGCTACAGATTCTCAGTAAAGAATTGACTGTGAACAGAACTGGGGAATAATGTATAAGCATAGTTTGTGTCCTCACCGAATTCCAGTGCGGGCATTCGGCCTTCCTAAATACCCACTGAAATGACAACTGGCTACGTTGTATTTCACTCCCTATTCTAAACTGTTCTCCAGTGGTCGTAGAGTATTGTTAAACAGCGGCCACGCTTTACCCCTTTCGAAAATACTGTATTTATTTATTTATTTCCTTTTGATTAAGAATAAAAACTGCCCAGACAAAGACTCTGCGTGCTCTGCCAGTTAGTCAACATTTACAAAACTAAATAAAAATATCAATCAGTTCACTCTTTTCTACCATGCAGCAGCCCTAGGTACAAATAACAGCAACCCAGAAACAACACTTGGAAATCATTCGGAAAATTATCCACCTTGAATTGTGAGTGAAGTCAGACAATACTGATTCAGCTTCACTGTCGTCATGACTACAGTAGATTTAAACTCTCTTGCTAAAATAATGGTAAAAAGTGTAATTGCCTGCATTGGTGAAAAGCAGCAACCGTGGTTTTAAAAAAGGAATAATTCAAGTAATTAATTGAAAAGCCACGTTCTGTGTCGACATAAGTGTTGCAATAATACAGCATGCCACCCCCTGTGAATCAGAGTTTGAGACTTTAAATTAGTCTTCCGTTTCTGGACAGGCAGGGTTTGGGAGAGTCACAGAGATATCGCACTGAACTCATAGAAAAGGTTTGTCATTCTGCACCAGGAATCCTTTAACTTATCCATTAGAAAAGAGTAGGTCTCCTCTCAGTTGCACCAGTGTAAAACACAAGTACCTTCACTGATGTCACTAGACTTCTCCCATTGTAAAGTGAAAAGAGAGTCAGACCCACAAAGCTTACCTGTGTCCTACACACATTAGATACTTAAAAAGAAAATAGAAAGATTGATTGCAACATTTTCCAAAAGCTCTAAACTACTTTTTCATATATAACATTAACAATAAACCTTGCAGCACAGGAAAATGCCCAGGTCAATCTCATGATTCGATAGCGTAGTAAATGTGGACATTCTGTCAGTCTCCTAGCTGTGTCCTGAATGTGGTTTAGGAGACGTGACCAGTGCATGGCCTAACTGTGTTCTGTAGGGTCAATGGTGCCAGCAATGCCTTGTTAGCCAGGAGCATTTCATGAGTGAGTACATGGAATAGATATGGGATGGGAGTGGAATAAAAAGGGAGATTTTTTTTCAGCTTTAACACATTGGCAACCACTCTATGCAGGGGCCCCAAGACTGTGTATTCTTTGAAGTCTTGCTTTTGTTTTGAAGCAGAGATTTTCTAATAAAATGACCCCTTTGTGCTGGCATTGAAAAAAGATTTTTTTTTCTCTAAACACTGCCCATATTTTGGATCATGTTCTCCTAATGATAGATGTGGACTTCGCTTTATTCAAACGTAATGCAGTTGGATATTTCACTAATGTTTCATCACAGTTGCCAACATGTCAGTGTTTTTCAATTGTTCCCATTTGATTTCAGAGCCTTTTAATAGACCAACTACGTTCACCGGTCTCGCTGCAGTGGGTGGTAATGCCTTCGGGGGACTTGGGAACCCGACAGTTAGTGAGTAACCTCTTTCTCTAGAAATTTGCCTTTTGATTATTTTTGTTCATTGCGTAACTCAGGATTTTGAGTGAAGGTGACTATCTGCTGTGTCAATACCAGTTACGTAGATCACACAGTTACAAGGGACCTGATTTTCAAAAACAGACATTATTTTTTAAAGGATGCAATTTTCTGCTTTATGTATTTCATAGTTTGAATTAAACATACCACCAACTGGTAACATTACCTTATGTACTTTAAAAGACAAAAGTAACCTAGAACCCATGAATTGAATTAACTTGAGAAATTCCTAAGAGTTCCATTGTAATGGTTAAAAAAAGTTAATATGTGCTGCTTTATCTAGCCTTAGATGGGAATATTTTTTCCTTTCTAACTACTTATGTAGAAACTGAACTTGAAAATGCTTACTGGTCCTGTGCTTATTTGCACTGAGTCACCTAAATCTTTCATAGTTTTGGCCAATCACAAAAGATCAGTCCTTAAAAATCGCATCACTTCCCTGTCCCCACTTCAAATCCGACATTATTTTCATCATTCCCATCTTGAAAAACCAGAGCTAGAAGGCAATGAATTTATGTATCTACAAAGCTGAGGATCTCAGCTTTCAAACAGTAATAGTATATTAATGTCTAATTATGATACAGCTCAGGGGTCAGCAACCTTTCAGAAGTGGTGTGCCGAGTCTTCATTTATTCACTTTAATTTAAGGTTTTGCATGCCAGTAATACATTTTAACCTTTTTAGAAGGTCTCTTTCTATAAGTCTATAATATATAACTAAACTATTGTTGTATGTAAAGTAAATAAGGTTTCAAAATGTTTAAGAAGTTTAATTTAAAATTAAATTAAAATGCAGAGCCCCCCAGACCGGTGAGCAGGACCTGGGCAGTGTGAGTGCCACTGAAAACCAGCTCGCATGCTGCCTTCAGTAGGCGTGCCATAGGTTGCCTACCCCTGATATAGCTATTCCCTGCCATAGTCGTGTTGAAATTTAAGAAGAGAAAATGAAATAAGTAGGATGGTAACCAGAAAGACATGATTTTAAGAGCTGCTCACTAATGACCAGCCAAGGCTAGAAATGAATGCTTTGAATACTTTCGAAAAGCTGAGAATGCCAGTTTTCCCAATTCAATAGTATACAGTATGTGTTTTGAATCTGAAGGTTTTGCAAAATATAGGATGTTAAACATATATTTTGCTCTGGTTCCGGACTGAATACAGCAGGTCCCATATCTTGAATTGGTATCATTTTCATTCCCTGATGCCTCCAATATGTTTGGAATAAGAAACATGTCAATTTTGCCTGATACTTTCTCCCTTTATGCACAGAATTTCCATTTTGCAGTTAAACAGCTGTCAGTTGCCTGTCTAGTGTTAGGAATGAGAGCCTCTAATGAATCTCTGTTAATCTCCTTTCCTTTTCCAGCCTCCAATAATATGTATTCATTTTAACTCTGAGTGCTGTAAAAGTTTTTTGGGTAAGTACCTTCACTCAAGCATAACCTTTTTCTTAAACCTTTTTGTTTTCCACTTCACCATTTCAGCACCCAACTCAATGTTCGGCCACAAGGATGGCCCCAGTATGCAGAACTTTAGCAACCCTCACGAACCCTGGAACCGACTGCACCGAACTCCTCCTTCGTTCCCGACCCCTCCGCCCTGGCTGAAGCCAGGAGAGCTGGAGCGCAGTTCATCTGCTGCAGCTCATGACAGAGATAGAGATGTAGATAAACGAGACTCATCTGTTAGTAAAGATGACAAAGAAAGGTACGAAAGACCGCGTCCAAGAATTGTCTAGTTCAAAGCGTGGGCTCTGTTCAGCTTTTAACCCTTCCCAGCCTGGCCTCTGGTTAAAACATAGCTTCCACAGACTGAATTGTGCACTTAATCCCTGCAGAACTAACACAGTCAATGTGGACGGTACTAGGCTAGTAATACAGAAGACACAATTCTTGTTCAGGTGCTTCCTAGAAGGTCTAGACAGTCTGATCCCCTTCTCATTTGCACCTGTGTTAATCAAAAGTAACTTGACTGAAGTCAGGAGAGCTCTGCCAGTGTAAAACGAGGATAGATTCAGACCCATAGAGCTTACCTGTCCTTCAGGGCAGATTTACAAAGGTATTTAGGGGCCTAAATATATAGACAGGTGTTGAGTGCCAATGTGATTTAGAATTTGTGAATCACACTAGGCACCTATCTGCATCTTTCAGCACGTATATACCTTTGTAAATCTGGGCTTACATGCATTAGCAACATTTTTCAAAGGTATTAATCTTTCATTTGTAATATTTAAAATAAACAATTGTAACACTGGAAAATGCTTAGGTATGTTGTGATTCAAATGACATAGTAAGTCCTAATTTTCACACAGTACATTACATTTCCTTGAGTCCTTTTAAAAAAACAAACCACATTTGCATTGGTTTTGTACATTTCAGAGCATTGTTTTAATTCAGTTCCTTACATAGACTCGGACACGAGTGTAAACCTGTCCAAGCTGGAAAGGGTTAATGAAAATTAAAACCTGGTCAGTTTTTTTTTTCCAGAAATGTTCCCATTATAGTTACGTCAATAACAATTCTTATTAATATTTAAGAACCAAATTATAAGATTTTGTCAGCCAGTGTCATGTCCTGCTTGAAAAACATTCAGAACTGATTTCAGCTTTTTCAACAAGTGTAGCTTAAAAGCTTTCCTGCTAAGATGGGCATATTAGTTATTTTGCTAGCTAATTTCCTTTCTTTCTTGAATATTTAGGAGATGTGGGTTTTTTGGCTACTCTACCGAGTATACTCATGAGTAACATTCTTTTTTAAAGGATGTTACATGAACACATTGATATTCTAAAAATACATTTTAAGAACTTTTTAAGTAAGTCAAGCTACAGATCTTTTCAACTATATTTTTCCATTTGGAATATTTTCTGTGTGATAGCATAGCCTCATTTTGTTTTAAGGCTTCAAAGGGAATTGGGGAGTCAATCATGCAGACGCTTTGCCATGTGAATAACTTCACTTATTGTGGATGTAGGTAGATTTTAGAATTACATGAGTATTTCATTTGGTATTTTGTTGTTTTTATTACAACCGTGTGTCTCTGTTGAAGACAATCCCTTTCAGAAATCTATTCCTTGCCAGCTGCTTTTGCATCACTCTGAACTTCATGTCATAGTTTCAAGCATATTTTTTTTAACGATCAGCCTAATTTCAGAGTCTGAAAAAATTAAGCTTCATTCATACATCATACTTCTGCGCAGTTACAGTTATCAACTTTTAATTTATCCTTGCAACATCCCCATGGGGTATGGAAGTATTAGCCTCGTTTTATAGTTGAGAACTGGAGGTCCAGAGAAATAAACTGATTTCCACAAATTTCACAAGTAGTCTATGACAGAGCTGGGACATATCTCCTGAGTTCCACTACAGTGCCTTTATCATAAGACCATCCTTACTTTTATACAGGGTTTTGATATGCACAGATAATTACCAAACAACATACAGCAATTATGTTAGCCTGATTAGGCAATAGTGCCTGATTCTGATCTCACTCACACCAGCATAAATTACAAGTAACTCCACTGAAGTTGACAGAGTTGCATTCATATGAAACCATAGGTAAATCACAGACAGGCTCAAAATATGCTCTAATTTTACATTGGTGTGTTCTGATATAGTACACGCTTTATCCTTTAGTATCAGTGTCACTTTTCTTTTTAAGAAATCCACCATTGCATTACAGTGAAAATAATAGCTAGTGAGTACAAGATGAGAACCCTTGTGCTCAGCAACAATAGGTAATCTAAAAGGCACCAGAGAGCAATTTGCATTCTTACAGATGACATTCATGTGGATGTAATCCCAGAGCAGAAAATATCATGAGTCCTAGTGACTCTTTTAGCAACGTAAATGCAGTAAAATAATCGTAGCGAGATGGTACCTGGCAATATACACTTTGGCAACTGACATCATATGTTTTATTTAGTAATAACAATACTTTGCATGTTCACTTGAGGATCCCAAAGCAAATGTTGCCCAGTCAGTATACCGGAAACTGGGGCACAGAAACTAGGGTAAATTAACACAGCAAGTCTGTGACAGACCTGAAAGTAGATCTGAGGTTAAATGACTCCCAGTCTCCAGTTCTACCACTAGACTACATTTTACCTAGCTGAGTTATTGTGTAACGATATAATCTTAATGCATCTTGAGATAATTTCATCAGTATGTGCTGGTTGCTTAATTGAATAGGACAGAATTGGCAGAGAAAAGTGGTTATTTCATTCGTCCAAAAGTATGGTAATTGGACAGATTTATTCATTTTGGTTACAGAAAGCATTTATTTCAAGCACAATTGAAAACATATAAATTACAAAGCAAACTGATTTAGCACCAACTGAAGAACTCAGTAGGTGCCCCTTAAAATAAAAATACCAAGAAGTCCCTAAATCACTCCCTGAAGCAAAAGCTGATATTAATAGGTAGTCGTTGCAGAGTGCCTTGGAAGTCCACCCACTTACGCTCTGTTGGAGAAACAAAGAAATCATGACCCCAAGTTGTGGGGCGTTCATTAAAATGCCCCGCCTCCAGACGTTCAAATCCAGCTTGTATGGCTCAACTAATCTCAGTTGTTGGTACAGAACATGAGGAGAGAGACTGTTTCTAAAGTATCCGGGTCCCAAACATTTAGGGTACAGTAAATCAGTACAGGCATCAAATGAAACACCTTGCTTAGCCGCTCCATTTTGCTGTAACTGAAGTTTCTGAGCAGTCTTCTGATGTGTGCCTGTGACGTTAAAGTTGCAGTAATCGAGTCTGGAGGTAGCAAAGGAATGGACGCCCGCGGCGAGAGCCGTATCCAAGACGTTACGTGCAGATGAAAGGATGTCATCCCCTTGGCTGCTGCTGCTAAATGACCTTCTGAAAGCAGCTACGTTCTGTACACAGGAGCCCTAGGCAGGGTGCCTTATTAACAAAAGACAAGCCAAACTGCTCAACTGACAGGGCAGATAAGCACTTAAATATCTCCTCCAACCTCCAAGGCCACACTTCCTGTCTTTTCTGGATTGAGCTTCAACCACCTAGCCTCCCACAAGTCCCAGTCATGGCTAGACACTGAGAAAGCAGAGAGGCGGCCTCACCCAGATCTGATAACAGAGACATAGAGATGGATGATGACACTGCTCAGGCTACCTCGTTGTCCTTCCTAATGGCCTCACCTACACGTTTAACAGTACAGAATTCTGCAGTGCCCTACATGAGAGAATTCCCATGGCCGATCGCCCAACACGATCCTTTTTACAGAATAAATAATGAAGCTACTCTGTGTATCACTGCCAGAAACGGCATCAGTGTCAACTATACCTTATTGTTGTTGGTTACAAAGGACAGCTGATACCGTAGACCTAAAGGGATCAGCATAGAGATCTGTCACCAGGAGGAGATCGTTGCCTAATGCTATTTCTGTACCATACATAGATCTAAAATAAAATGGGTCCAGGAAATATGGAGACTTTTTGGCAATGCCAGAGATGTGTGGCCACAACCCTCTCTCTATGGTCTTCCCCAAAAAGGCAGGCTAGAAGCAGGGCTCTTATTAGCAAGATTATCAGGGTCCATGGAGATGGCTTCTTGAGCAGGGACAGCTGTTCATAAAGGGTGAAATTCACCCTGGTGCAAGTAGTCATTGATGTCCCACTTAAGCTCTAGTTTGAGGGTTTCAGTGGTATGCCCTTCTGACCTCTTGGACTGGGATCAGTTTCACCCATAGAGAGATGTTGACACATTTAGGGAGATGCTGAAAGCCTCTATCAAGTAGTACTATGGAGGGTATATTTTGTTATGTTTTCAAACTCTTCAATGCAAATTGTAAAGCAAGAAGGATGCAGAGTATATACATAAGAAATTAGATATGCAATGTGTAGAGATTTTAAACAATAAATCAATTCAAAACAAATGCCGCCTCTTGATTTTCCCCCCTGACTTCTATTAAAATACATTTGAGACTAGTCAGGTAAAAATCATATAACTCCTGCAATTTAAATTTAACTTCTTCGCTTATTTTTTGAGGATGGAGTTTGGATGTTTTTATTCATCGCTCACCTTCTTACAAGCTGTTGAGGCTGCTGTCTAAAACTTACGCAGATAGAGGGGGCCAGTATCTCTGTTGGTATACCATTGACATGAGTGCGGAGGATTTGGTCAGATGGTTTGCAAAGCCACTCTAGGGGCCTTCTCTCTCCTGAGTCTAGATAAATAGAACAAGCATAGTGTAGAGAAGGGGCGTTCTAGCAATGCCACATATGCCTCTGCCAAAGGAAATAATGCATTAAACTAGCACGTGACTAGCTTTCTGCACAACAGTGACCAGGGAGTCAGGAGCCTGTCGCGTTGTTTTATTTGCAGAGTTTCTCAAATTCTTAACCTTTACACTTTGCTCTCTCTAGGGAGAGTATTGAGAAAAGACACTCCAGTCATCCTTCGCCAGCACCCATCCATTCAGTGAACTCCCTCGGACATAACCGCAGCTCAGCTGAGCAGATCAGGAGCCATCTCAATCCTGAGATTCGAGAGAAAGAGAAACCCAAAGAACGAGAGAGGGATCACTCTGAATCTCGAAAGGACATGAATGTTGAAGAACACAAGGTGAAGGACAACTACTCTTCAGAGAAAGAAGGCTTGGGCCATGAAAGCAGGGCAGTGGAAGAGTCTAAGCAAATGTCCAGGGTACCTTCACCCTTCGCTAGGCCCCCTGTTGTGGAGAGCACCAGGCCCAATAGTACTTCCAACCGTGAGGCTGAGAGAAAGAGTGAGCCTGCATACGATAATCAGAAGAAAAGTAGTGAAGTCAAAGTGAAGGAGGAACGGAAGGAAGACCATGATGTTCCACCTGAGGGACCTCAGACTCATAGGTCATCTGACCAGCCACCACCAATATCTACATCCAACGTCCATCCAGGTCCCTTAGTGTCTATGCCTATGACTGTAGGTGTAACTGGTATACACCCCATGAACAGCATCAGTGGCCTGGACAGGACTCGCATGATGACACCTTTTATGGGAATAAGCCCAATCCCAGGTGGAGAACGTTTTCCCTACCCGTCTTTCCACTGGGATCCGATGAGGGATCCTTTGAGAGATCCTTACAGAGAGCTTGATATTCATCGGAGAGACCCTCTGGGCAGAGACTTTTTGCTAAGAAATGATCCCCTTCATCGTCTTTCCACACCAAGATTATATGAAGCTGATAGGTCGTTCAGGGACAGGGAACCTCATGACTACAATCACCACCACCACCACCACCACCATTCTCTGTCCATGGATCCTCGACGTGAGCATGAGAGGGGCAACCACTTGGATGAGAGGGAACGGTTGCACATGCTCAGAGAGGACTATGAACACGCACGCCTGCACTCAGTTCACCCTGCCGCCTTGGATGGTCACCTGCCTCACCCGAGTTTAATCACCCCTGGACTTCCCAGCATGCACTATCCCAGAGTCAGTCCCCCAACAGGACACCAGAATGGCATTCTGAATAAAACTCCTCCCACAGCAGCTCTCAGCGCCCCTCCTCCTCTTATTTCCACTCTGGGACCTCGGCCTGGATCTCCCAGAAGGACTACTCCTCTGTCGACAGAGATGAGAGAGAGGCCGCCTTCTCACACCCTTAAGGACATTGAAGCTCGGTAAAGAGAATTAGAAATAAGGAGATACTGAACATGATATAAAGACCTTCTTGCTAGTCATTGACACAGACTGTGGATGTGATCCCACTGTACAAAATGTATAGACCCAAGCGCAAAGATTTTGAAATGGGTTTTTTGTATATGCTATGTTGAAATTTTCCAGATCTTTTAGCCAAGTCCATATGTTCCTTATGTCTCCTACTCTATTTTATTTCTAGTTTAAAATTTTCAAAATTTGAACTGAAGAACAAGACATCAATCATCATAATTTGGTTAAAAACAAACCAACAACAACAACCGTACAAAGTTCTTTCAGACCAGAAGTGAAGACAATTGTAGATATCTATGTAAAAAGATTGCTTCATGGGTTAATGGTTCATATATGCAAAAAGGGTAAGATGAAAGCTTTACTTTGTACAAATGTAAATAGATAAAATTAAGTAACATAAAACATTAATACTTCTTAAACTGTGCTATTTGCAAACTTAATATTGATCAACACAGTTTGCTTAGACTGTGTGACATATATTGTTATAGACAGCTAAACCCCTTCAACTATGCAATGAATTTTAAGGCTTTTCACAAAAGCCTGTATAACTCAAAGGAGCCTTTTCAACACACAACTTACTTAAAGTCATATTTTCCCTGAACAAGCTCATGTATTACATAAATCTGTTTTCCTTGCTTGTTTTGATGACGAAACGACCCATTAGAAGTGTAGTTTTCCATATGAACCCTGGCATCAAGTTGCTAATGTTACCATAGTACATGTCATTTCTGAGGTCTTGTTCAGGTTAGCAAAATATAATCACTGACAACATAGTGTCTAATATGATGTATGGTTTTTCAGTCCTATTAACCTGGATTAAACAGAGTAACAATCAAATGTGAGATACTTCCCGGAACTTTTGTCACTTAACATGTCAAGTTTATTTTTGGAAGAACATCTGGTTATAGCAATTTGAGTCTGTTGTTATGATCAGTGTGTCATTTTTATCTGTACACACACTTTTTGGGGGGTGGGGTGTTAAGGGAATTTAGCTACACTGAAACAAATCCTACAAGAAATCTAATACTTTCCTAAAATGATGGATGTGTTTTCACTGCGGATCAGAAGTTTAGTCTAAACTCCAATGCAGATTTCATAATGCAATTTATTGTGTTTCAGTTGGTAATAAAGTCTGTGAATAGCTAATAGGTCAGCTTTGTTTTTCCCTGATCACAGGAGAAATGGCCCTTTTCAAAAAAATGCATCAATCTTCTGAAATTTCTGTCTTTTCATAACACACTATTTTATAATGCATTACATTTCTTGTCTAAATATTTGGAGAGAATATGACTTTATCAGAAAGAATACAATATCTTGTCTACTGGACTGTAAAATATATGTATGAAATAAAATTAGTTCCATTGGTCTTCTAGTGTATTAAAGTGCTATCTGAAGTTGTTATCCTGTTTTGGCAAAAAAAAAAAAAAAAAGAAAGAAAAAAAAAAAAAAAAAAAAAAA